TACATTGATCCCATGATCTCCAGCACAGCTGTTTCGGTATGGACCTCTCCTCCCTTTTTCACAAGCAGAAAAGCTAGTGGCATCCAACCCTACCCTTAGGGAACTAGCTTGGACAGTTTGCAATAAATATGGAAAGCATCACCTGTGCAGATAATCCAGATCTTCTGGTTGTCATTTAAACTGGCAGGGAACAGAGAGAGGACAGATCTGCAGTTGTCAAGTATGATGAGAGATGGACTCTTTACACACAATTCCGCCTCTCCCTGTTCCCAGTCTGGAACTATCCTCCTATTCTATAACGTTTTTCATATACACAGGACACAAAGCCTCTTTCCCCGGGAACAAAACATAAAACAAATTTCAAATGTTTATGAAGTAAAAATCATGCAGATGACTCCAAGGACAGTTATGTAAACATGCTTAGTTTTTATCCTTCATTCCCACCACAGAAACTCAGTGTTCTACTTACAAGGTTTCAGCCGCATGAGGCGGAAACTCAGATCCTTCTTCTTTCTTGCACCAGTGAAAAAGCTGGTAAGATCCAATATGTTTACTTTTCTGTTTACATTGAAATCTTACACAGTTATCACACTTAGGGCCAAACTAGACATGACTGTGCCCTCGTATCTGCTGCAGGGATGCTGCAGCCATTTTAAAGACTAAAATGAGTGACTTTAAAAATACCACAGGAGTTACCGGAAAAGACGCTGGGGGGGGGAGGAGGAATACTTTGTCCCACTGCACTGCAGGCCTGATCAGGATTGGGCCCTCATGGCATTTTTAAATCACATCTTTTAGGCTTTACAATGGCAGTGGCATCCCCCTGGTGGACATCTAGTTTGGCCCTTCGGTTAGCAATGTTAGCCTCCCCCTACACTACATGCACATATACAGAGAGAAAGAGACAGAGAGAGAGAGAGAGAGAGAAAGACAGAGAGACGGGGGGGGGGCTTTTTAAATTGCTAGCAGCTTAAAAACTTAGAAAGTTACCATGTGTCTTTGGAAACATGATTCCTATAAAAGAGTAAGAAAGGTACTCAAATCAATCCCAAAATTTTGGCAAAAAAGTCAGTTCTCAAACGGCATAAGCTCCATGCCCTCAGTCAATACTCTACATTCTTCTTCAACTATATGATTCTGAGAGCTCCCCCATATGTTGCATGTGGATATCAAACCAGTCATCTGTGCAAATGCACTGGAAGAACATGCACATAGCCTCATTTCACTTACAGCATCTGTAATAAAAATCTTTCAACATCTAATATATACAAATGTCTGACAAAGTACATGACTTCCACTGATACCACCTTTTGAAGATTGGGAATTAGGGCTCTGGAAGTGTTATCCAAAGTAGAGTTACATCCTTCTGAGCCCTTTGACTTCAGTGGACATAGAAGGGTATATCTCTGCTGCACTGTAATAGTGTGACTTAACACCATATAAAGCTAACTTCTTAGATTACTCCGTAAACCATTTTCATCTCTGGTCTCCATTTTGCAAGTGAGAGCTTTGAAGATAGAGATGGACTTTTTCCTACAGTGGTCATCTAGAAATATGGCACCACCTTAACCATATTTACCTTCCCTGAAGAGTTAATCTCTCATACCTCACCATTTAAAAATTAATACAAGTGTATTCTCTCTGTAAGCAATGAAAATGGGAGATGCCAGCAACACTGAGACAACTAATTTCAGAGACCAATCTTACAAAAGAGAGAGAGAGAACAACACCTAAAATACTACTATTTTGTGCACAGAAAAGAAAAGATGTTCCTGGTGTCTGCAACATGTACAAGCCTAACTGAAAGAAGCCCAAGTCCAAAGAAGCCCAAGTCCTTTAGATGTTATATACCAGCATATTAAAGTTCTGGGGACTTAAAACATCGCACACAAATGGAAAGATGATAATGGATCATCTTCAAAGCCAATATACTGCTAATATCTGGCTTGAAATGAGCCGGGCAGGTAACAGTCACTAGTCCATAAAATATTTACTAGCCTGCTACTTTGTCAGAAGGTGGCTTGTAGAGGTATTTTTCCTATAAAACCAATGGGCTCACACTTGAATAACACTGTAAGTGGAAAGGGTTTATTTGTGTACCCCTTGTTATCTGAACAGGCGTTGCCCATTTCATATTACCAGACAAAGAAATTCAGATTTTCACAGCGCTTCGTCTGGATCCTAAAAACTAATTTCATATTCGCTCATGGTACCCTCTCTACCTGAAAGACTGCCCCCTCCCAGATGTGCCATCAAGAAAAAGATTAATAGTCTTAAATCTATGTACAAGTTACAGGTAGGTATGATTTAGAAAAATTGTGTATATAACCTTTCAGAGGGGTTGTTTTATATTCAAGGTCATCTTTCTTTCAGGTAAATATGGTATTTTCACTATATAAATGAGAGAAAAGAGAGATAAC